TACGGGGGATCTGCCCAATAAAGAGCTTAATGGCATCGTGGTCCTTCATTGGGATGGTGGATGGGTTTCCGGGACTATGGTTTAATCCGTTCATATGCCCGTTGGTGCTGGGGTTGCTGTGATTGCTACTCAGGCTGGTATTGTCTGGTTGTCCGTTTGCTAACGTGGCCATCTTTATATACATAGAGAAAATCTTCTTTCCTTTTTTTCCCCCTCTTCTTTTCTCTCTCCCTCCCTCTCTCCCTCTCTCTCTCTCCCTCTCTCTCGCTCTCTCGCTCCCTCTCCCTCTTTCACACACACACACACACACTCACACACACACACACTCCTCCCTCTCCGTCTCTCTCTCTCTCTGGGTCTGATCTGATTTTTTTTTTACATTGAAGATCTGTGTCCTTTCCGTTTAAACAGGCTGGATCGGTTCAAATTCCCAGCCAGACTAGGGGGTGGGGTGTGAGTGTGTGGATGTGTGTGTGTGCGGGGAAGGGAGGCTGGGGGTGGGGGATTGCTTTTGCCTCTACTCTGGCTAAACCCCCTCCTCCCATCCAACCACCCCCCTGTCTGTCTGCCCGGGAGAAGCTTAATGGTATCTTCCAACACAGCCCCTGGCTATAAATAGCACTAGGCGCATGGTTCTTTGAGAGACAGTCAATTTCTATTGTGCCAAGTGAGCAAAGGGGAACGGTTGCGTTTTTAGGACCAATGATGATGATTTTTTTTTTCCTTTTCCTTTGCAAGCCCTCCGATCAATCGCTGTCGTTATAATTTCAGTGATCATCGGGAAATCTGCCTTTTTATTTGAGAGGGGGAAAAAAACAAACCCAAGGTGTTCTGACTTCTTCCTATTATGATGATGTCTCTTATTTATTATTTACTCTTATTATGATTTCGCAATTGATAATAAAAGCAGTTCAGATACGGACGAATCCTCGGGCTCAGAGGTTGCTTTTGCTGTTGTTGTGGTTGTGGTGTTACAAGCTCTCTTCTATATCTGTTCTTGTTGCATCTAAAAAAAAATGCATGCTCTTTAAGCTTTTTTTTTTTTTTTAATTATGCTGCTGCTGATGACATCAAGCTAGGAAAGGCGCAAACTGTATTATTGTAGCTCTTTGGAGGGAGACGAAAAATATCGAGATGACTTGTTAATTTTCATGCTGCCGATATTTATTTTACGTACAATCAGTGCGGGCGTTATCTGCTATACTAGCTGCGTGCGGTGTGTGTGCGTATGTGTGTGTGTGTGTATTGGAAGGGGATTGATTAGATAAGATTTTCTTGCCCGACTTTCAAGCCATCAGGATATTCTGTCTCTCTCTGACGGAAACATAAATCGTATTTTGTAGTCATCAGGGATCGGGAGTTGCTTGTCCGAACAATGCTCTCTAGACAAAGTGTACTGTATGGTGGAAATGAAATCAGCTCTCCTTTCATAGCATCTGGGGGTGGGGAGGGCAGGGTGGCTCGGATTAAGGACACAACTCCCCCCTGTCCCCCAAATAATAATATCAGTAATCCCGACAGTAACAAAACAAGGCTCTGCGTGAGCTCAGAGCAATATTTCCCCCCTCCCCCTCCCCCCCTTTCCCCCGGTTCCCGTGCAAGCTGTGCGGGCACGGAGCTCGGAGAA